ACTCATGTTATGTGTTTCCATTGTATAAGTGTAGGGAATAGAAATGTAGATTTGCTATAATTAGATATTGTGTTTAATTTATTAGTCATGTTAATTTGCAGATTTTGGAATTTGCTAAGAAAATGACTCTTTTCAAGTGAATCCAGTTATATTTTAGATAGACATCTAGAGCTTATGTGTCAATAAAACATATATAAGACTTTGGATAAAGCAGACAAAATATCTTTCTCATAAAGTGGAGAAAATATCTTTCTCTTTGGCTACAAACACATCATTATTCTCATCCTCAGACTTTTGGTATTTTCCTTGAATGGTCTTCTGACTGAAAAAACAAAAGCAAAAACATGAAAACATAAAATTTATTACGCATTACCTAGTTTGAACATATTACTGAATTTTGAGAGTAAAGATACAGTGAGCATATTCAGGAATAGGATACTACTTAGTAGATTTATTAAATGTACTTATTATTCAAGTCCCTTGAGCCACATCTGCAAATAAATATGACTAATAAATTAAATACAATGTCTAATTATAGTAAATCTACATTTCTATTCTCTATACTTTCACATTAAGACATCATTCACATTTGACATCCATTTTTTCTGCTACTCAGCAAAATAAAACACATTTTAATTGTTTTTCTTTAAAAAGTCCTGGTGGGAGAAATGGAAAGGCATATTCAAGGAAATCTTGTAGAATGCCCCCTCCTGAGGGCAGAGAAACTCCATAGGCCTCTCCTTATTCCTATATTTCCCTACAATTTATAAAGAAAAATATCCTAGCATATCTGTGGAATTCATCATTTCTTTCTTCTCTACATCCATTCTATGCATAGCAATTGTAGCAAGTGGGAGCTGGAAGAAAAAAATTTTTGTATTAGGATAAGCCAGGCTATGCTGCTATAACGAATTAGCACTAAAATATTCGCTGTTTAACAAAACAAAGACTTCTTTCTTGTCCACGCTACATACTGATTGCAACTCAGTGCGGGGAGTCTGTTCGTATACCCACTCAAGGGCCAAGATGATTCAGGCTTTACCATCTATAACTAGATGTTCTCAAATTAGTGGTTCTTCTGTGGCCATCCCAGGGGAAGTGAGTACTAGAGGGTCTCATGCCCAGAAGTGACATGTAGCTCTTCTGTTCATATCTTTTTGGGCAGAACTAGTCACCTGGCCAAGTGTAACTACAAAGAATCTGAGAAATATAGTCTTCTATGCATCTAAAAGGAGAGGAAAAGCAGATGTTGGCAAGCACAAGTGATGTCCACCACACTGCATAATTCAATCCATTCAAGAAAATAGGGCTATTGGTAGCTGTGTCCTATGTCACCAAATAAGCTAGTAGTAGTTAGAGGTACAACCCAGCTCTTTTTATACTTGTATTATATCTACTGTTATTTTTCCAGTGGATAACTCTTTTCTATATGGGAGTGGATGGCATAAAATAATTGCTGAGCTGTAGAACATGTGGCATAAATCATTAAGAATGAATGAAGAATGATAACCTTGGTGCATTTTTAACTTATTTTATTCTATCCCACCCCAGGCCAGATTTGTTTTCTGGTTGTGGCTGAGGGGATTTCCAGACCATATCCTGTAATATCATGATGAAGGAAGTTTTCTCTATGTTACTCAGGCAAATGGGAATTCCTTTTTTTTTTGACACTAGATGCAGGAACCTATTGCATGTACCTAAAACCTTAAACTTCACAACTCATTTCAAATATCTTTTCTCATTTGCCCCACACAAAATGTACCTGAGATAAACTAAAGGTTGAGTGTCATTAACTTACTTTTGTAGATGTGCAGAGGAACACATGATATGCCCAAGCTCATGCAGCCAGTTACTGGTGACACTGGCACTAAAATCCAAAGTTCTGATTTTCAAGACCTGCTAGAGAACAAGCTACTTTGTTTCCTTCATTTTCACTGGCATCTCTTGGTGTGAAAGAATCATTAGGTGATTCTCCAAGTTTCAACAACCTTTCAAGGGCAGGCTGAGGAGCATAATTTGACTCTTCATCAAGGTGCTTTTTCTAGATTTTTACGTTGATAAAAATACAACATATGTTAACATCTACAAGGTGTTACACTGAGGCTCAACTTAATATCTCCAGTGCTTTTATGTCTGTTGAAACACTGAAAACAATTCTTTCATTTTGGTTTCCTTAGTTGGTACAATAAGGATAGTAATTTTTTACTAAAAACGTGATTGGAGGAATGCTTGTATATTTACGAATGTTTGTTCTTACTATTACTCAGCATCTGGAAAGATCAAGAACAGAGAGGGAAAATGAAACAAACAGAGTAAATCCAGTTCTACAACTTCCCTTTCTATCCTACTTCTTTCTATTGCTGAAAAATCTAATCTTCCCTTTCTATCTCTGCATTCTATTGCTGAAAGTCTATCAGAGTCCTGACAGACATTGTATGTAATCCGTAGAGACTTCGCACATCTGCTAAATCTCCTTGGATGAGTGGGTTACTTTCAGTTGCAACTAACAGAACCTCACTAGAAATTGGTTTAATCAAAAAGAGATGAATTAGCTCACGTAATGGGGAAGAGCAGGGGGAGAGATAAGTGTGCATGTAACACCCCTAGGAAATTACTTTTTATCTTTTAGCTCTGCTTACTTTTTTTGTTGACTTCATCCTCAAGTAAATTCTCTTCAAGGAGCAGCAAAGATGGCTACTGGCACCTCAAAGACTGTATCCTAACCAGTGTAGTTTCTTTCTCAGTTGCTACATCAAACATTCCAGGATCTTGATACCCAGAGGTCTTGATTGGGTCACATGCCTGGCCTTGAAAAAGGTCATCATCGTTTTGATTGGTCAGGCTTAGGTTACCTTCCAACCACTGGAAACAACAGCTGAATTCAGCTCCACTTAAATCTTAAGGACTGAGAATAGAGAATAGGAGTGGTGTAAAATTGAGCTGCTATTACATAAAGGCAGAATGGATGCTAAATGGAGAAAAATTACAGATTCTTATTCTAGTACTCGACTGTATGTTTCAGTACTCAACAAATGCAGAAAAGAGTAAATTATTATAGTCAAGGGTGTTATTTTATGTGGAAATCGAGTAGAGTTATGATGCTAAGGACAGGTGGAAAAATCTGAGAGATGAAATTCGATCTTAAGTTACCTTCTTCTCTATAACACTGTATTTTTTCCAGAGCTTTGCAAATTTACTAGAGGTAGGTAATATCTTTTACGTTTCCATATTTTATAAAAAATATATTGGAGGGAAGATGTGTGGCTATAAAACAAAAATTTAAAACCTTGTAAGTTGTCTGTCTTCTCCAAATAGATAAATATGGAGATGTTGGTCTTTTCTTTAGATAAGACCATTTTTAATCCCTAGGAAATCCCTATTATTCAAATGGATTTACCTTTGCTTAATCTGTAAGTGGTGCTGGAGCCTAGGCACAGCTGTGTTCAGGAGAGGAACCTGGTCTTTGATGTCTTACTTTTCAGTAGGTGCCAATTACTGTTTCCTTAAGCCTGGAGTACATGGTTATAGGACAGCCACTTTCTCCTCTGAATCACATCCGCTTTGTCTGTATGGGCAAAGCCCACCATCTTCATTCATTTATCACATCTGGTTTGGGTAGAACTCATTTTCAACTGTGGTGTATAAAATACTCCCTAAATTCCAACTAAATTCATACAAATCCACCAATAGACTATGTATGTAAACAAACACTAACAACTGATATTTGTACAGCACATTCCTGTTTCCTAAGTTCTTGCATATAAACCATCTCACCTGACCATTATGGGAGCTTTCGAAGGCAGGCAGAGGAAGTAATATTGTTCTCATATAATAAATGATGAAACAGAGATGAAGTGATCTACTCAAACTGATGATTAATGTGAGTCTTTGGATTCCAGAGCCCAGGCTTTCCTCACTACCTCTCAATATCTGAGTTGGGATGAGGGTGGTGGTGTACGCTAGAAGCTAAGAGGAAAAACTCTCCAATGAAATGACCAATAGCTTGAAAACTGGCTCTGCTGATTGCTAGCTGTGTGACCTTGGGCATATTTCTTGATCACTTAGCCTCAAATTACTCATCTGTATTGTTATAATCATTCCATACCTCAAAGGATTCTTGCGATTAATTGGCATAATGCAGGAACAGCACATAGCAGAGGTTCTGTATATAGCTCCTGCTTTTATGCTGGTTATATGCTGGTTATTACTTTGAAGAGTGTGTCAGAAATGAAGCTCAATGATGGGGAGCAGTGGAGAATGGGCAAAACCACGTCCCTGACAAGTGGAGCTAATGGACGCACACATAAATAATATGCTAGTTATTTTTATAGTTGTTATATGTTTCTAAAAGTAGATTCAACCTGCATTCACAAGAGGAATAAAGAGCTAAATCATCCATCTGGGTTGCTTCTGTCTCTATTAATTGCATCTTTCAGGTATGGGTGAAATGGGAGGGTGCACCCCCTGAATCAGTCCTTTATCTCACTATGCTTGCCTTCTAATTGCTTCATCTATTGTTTCTCCCATTCTGATCACCCATCACAAAGCCAAATATATGCTTATGTACTCAGAAGATTACAAGATTAATTCTGTTTTGCCTATTATAGAAAATAAGTGTGCCCTCTGCAATATGATTGAACAATTAAGTTTAGCCTCATATAAAAATCTGAAACCCCCATTTGAGTCTTTCTTTTTAGACCAAATAAGGCACAAAGAATTTCTCAACATTTTACTTTGTTTCGAAATGTTCCCAGTTCAGACTGCATTATAGATTTTCCCAGTACTGGTGTTACAAGGCATAAACCAATTAGTTCCACACAATTTCTGCGAGTTCCAATACTGGCTCTTCTGTAATACAATGATCAAAACATCCATTCCATTTGAGCAGACGCTCATCAACAGCTGGTTCTGTGCAGTAAAGGCACATGCAAATGGAAAGCACGGTCCTGTGTAGGGCCAGACTTTCCTCCTTGTTTCGGTTGTTTCTTTTATCCATTCAGGTCTTTGAAGAGTGTGTCAGAAATGGAGCTCAGCGGTGGGGATCAGTGGAGAATGAGCGAGACCACTTTCCTGCCAAGTGGGGCTAACTGATGCATACAGAAAGTAAACAGATCATGAAAGATGGCAGTGGAACTTGCGGGGCGGGGAGTAAGTGCCTGATGAGCGTCCAACTCAGATTCGGGGAGTTCTCAGAAGTGATGGCATCTAAGCAGAGGGCTGATGGATGAGTGAGTGAGCCAAGTTGGGGTCTGATGGGCTGGTGGTGGGGGGCACGGGTGGGAGGGCAAGGCCGTTATTCCAGGCTGAGGGAAGAGCAGACGCGAGAACTGTGAGGAGGCAGTAAACCTACTGGGTTGTGGAGTGCAGCATTTAAGGAGAAACCCTGTGGGCCTGGGGGCATCCGAAAGGTAGGGGTCAGAATGGGGCGAGAGTGTAACAGTATGAACTCCTCCCACTTCTACCCCTAAATCCATGAAAAGAGGAGATGACCTCCCCTGTCCCTCTTTCTCTAAGGGGAAAGACGATTTCCCTCAAACGCCATGCTTTCCGGGGATTGAAGGAAAATAACGTCTGAGCACGTATTATGTGCCAGGCACAGTTTTGGTTACTTTATATTAATTCACATTTACAACAGTCTTACGGTGTATTAGTAAATACTGTTCAACCTGTTTTGCAGATGAGGATGTTGAGGCAAGGGGAGTGAAATGATTTGCCCAAGATGACCCAGCTTATGAGAGACAGAGCCAGGGCTGGACCCCACGTGTCTGGCTCCAAGGACTGTGCCCTCCACGAGGTGAGGCCGCAGTGAGGTGAGCTGACCCAGGAATGCCTGGTAAGGCTCCTAACAGTGCATGGCGAACACAGAAAATTCCTCTGACCTTAACATTGAGATATGTGCTCTCGACTTTCTAATTTTTTGATCAGGACAGTGTTTTAGTAGAATGTGCTTATGAAAATAAAGATGTTCTTAAGATCAAATTACAACTGCTATTGTGAATTATGGCAATTTCCCACAGAAGCACTTCCAGACACCTTTTATGTTTACTTTTGCTTTTCCATTGACAATGGGTAATGGAGCTAGACAGGTCAAAGTCCCCGAAAGTTGGTAACACTTCCTGGTTTGCAGGACGGGACAAGGATGCCTTATCAGCACTGCTACACCTAATTGAAATCCAAATACTAGATTTTATTATTACTTATTCAGGATTTTGTTTTATAATTTTTTAAAGCCAAAACTTCTCGTTTTCATAGATTGTGTGACTTTCTTTTGTCTCCCAATGAAAATCTGAGCTCCGACTGTATCTAAAATGCCTTTTCAGTGTCTCTTTTGAAGCTCACAAATTAGAATGTCAAAGGTGCAATATTGCTTTTGTAGTATCTGTATTGCTTTAGATGTATCTGTAGTAGCATTAAGTGAAGTCCTACAGACTACACGGCATTGTCAAGAAAAATAAGTTAAAGAGGTGGGGTAACTTACAGAAAATAAGATGAATTTAAACTACGATGACTTTGTCCAAGGAATTTGTTATTGACATTTACCATGATAACCTCAAAATTAACATTGCCCTGTAACATTTCCCATGCATTCACAACCCTTCTAACTGGACTCTTCATTGGGCAAAAGACAGTCACGTGTCTTAACTGTTTTTAGGTTTGGCAGATGTACTCCAAGAATGCTTGTCAGGAATCAGATTAAAAACAAAAACATTGTGTAATACGTATCTTACCATAAAAAAGTGCCTCTATGAAAAAATATTTTCGGAACATCTATAATTGGTTCCTGGAATTGATTTTTGCATTGTCGAATTTTTTGTCCCTGTCAAAAAACATTTGTCATATTGGATCAGATCATTTCAGCTTTACACCCTATTTCCACTTTCTTCCTAGGACTTGTGAACATGGGCAAACACTTCTTAATTATCTTGATCAAGTGTGAGGGACATCTTTTTGCTGACCCCACTTGTAATCAACTGTGATCTCCTAGAGGCAGGCAAATTGATTGCTTCTACCCTCCCCAACTAGCCAGAACAGTGGGTCATATATTATCCTGCCCCTTTGAAAAAATCCAACTCAGTGATTGATTTTATGACTGCCTGTGGCAGCAAATTCCTCAGAATGAATTCTACCAGGTGAAGAAGTATTTCCTATAACTTGCCTTAAATTTCCTTAGCATTAACTACTCTGAGTGGCTCTGTCTCTTATGGGACAATGTAATAAGGATCTATCAGTTTTACTGCCCAGTACATATCTTTAATGGCTAAGTAAATCTCTCTTATTTTCCAGCCCAGCCTTAGTAATTCTAACTTTTGAAATCTCTCAGCATGAATGAATCTACACTTGATTTCTTGTCCTGCTCTGGAGCTCTGCTGTCCTGGAACTAAGGTTGACGAAGTGAAAGATAACAATAATGCAGATGAACTTGTATTATTCTCTGTAATACTTTGAAATTATGTTCTCTCTTATTCTGTAATCTTCTTGATTTCTCTACACAAAAAAATGGAAATTTATTGAAAGCAGTGGAAAATTTCTTTGAAAGATTTTCATCTGGTTTATGTGCAGTATAATGCTCCTCTACAGCACTATATAGCTTGGGATTTTTTAATCCTACAGGAAGTGCCCTAAAGGGGCTTAACAGATCTTTGTTCCAATTTCTACATCCCCTGGGGTCAAGCCTTCTTTTTATCAAATAGGACTGACCTCATTTTATGAAATGTTGATACCTCAACATTAGTTATGAATGAAATAAAATTATAAATAAAATGTCTAACTATCCAAGGACCACATTTTCTCTAAATTTTTTGCCCAGATATGCCTCATCTCCACCTGCACACCCAAACAGTAGTGTTTCGAGTGTCCTTCTTTCATTAGTTTTGCAAAGTCACTGTCAAGATGGAATTATTTCATGACTTAAGAAAAATTTTGTAAGATTTTCAAAACTAAAGTGAAAAAAATTGTATTTTAATGAAACGTATTTTGAAATGTGTGTGAGATAGACACGTTCCTTCAAGGTTGTTGAGTAAATTGGCTTTGAAACGTATTTGACGTAACATCTTTCTACATTGATAGATAGTAACCACATTAGAGGGGCTGGAGATTTAATAACATGGGGACTGCTGAACCGCTGTGCTGTACATTTGAAACCAACATAAGATTGTATATCAATAATACTTTAATTTAAAAAAAAGAAATATATTTGAATTGTGGCGACAGGGCCCAGAATGACAAAAAAAAAATTTTTTTTAAAGACAGATAAAATTGGGGTGCACACTGATCCAGGGATGAGTTTAATTTTGTTTTAATTTTGGTGTATCTGTGAAGAGGAGAAGATAGAGGAGAAAGGAAAGAGGGGGGAAGTGGCAAGTTAGGAAGAATGACAAATGAGGAATACCTCTGTGGCGGTAGGTTTTCTTGCCCTTCCTCTGACATTCCTCCCTTCCTCAGTCTCTCCCCTTGTTTCTCTTTCTTTTGCTCTCATTGAAGATGATTACTGAGCACCGGTCATGGGTAATGTGCTAGGTGGTGGGATGACAGAAATGGCCCCTGAAGTCACAGTGCAGGAAGCAGGCAATCCAAAAGCAGTTGCACCCGAAGCATTAGGGGTCATCTTTCAGGGAACCAGGGAAACATGGTTGAGGGGGGTCTGTGGAGAGTTCCCGTAGGAAGCCAGGTTAAAACTGATGTGTAAGGGATGGTGGAAGCCGGCCTGGGGAAGAAGGGATTAGAGGAATAAAGAGTCATCCACAAAGCAAGCAAAACTTGTAGCAGAGGAGCTGAAAGGAGTCGGGTAGGGTTGGAGGACAGGGTTCCGTGCTAAGGCCATCAGGGCTTAGACTGGAGCTGGTGCTTTGAAAACAAAACAGATGGCTGTATTTGGAAAGCTACTGGGGGACAAGAGGCATTCCTTCCCCCAAAATCTAGTAGAGATTGGGTAAAGGTGGAGTCATTTCAGTAAAATCTTTTGAACTAGCTTTAGAACTTCAAAGAAGAGAACATTAGAAATTCAAGAATATACCAAATATCTGCATTCCTGCCTCCCCTGCATATGGGATGGGGACAGGCCAGAGACACTAGCTGGGTGCAGTGGAGGCCACTCTGTAAACTAGAGGCTCACCTGGTGTGCACAGAGCTCCTCTCCATATTAGGCATACATGTCTTAGAGATACCATAGAAGACACTTTTTGAGGATTTAATACTTTTATAGTAGCTCTTAAAACTTTCCTTGCTCCCTCCCTTCTTTTTTCCTTCCTCCCTTCTTCCCTCCCTCCTTGCATCCTTCCATCAAAGCCATAAAAGTCACAAAAATTAAGCAACTTTCTAGCTTTCCTTCCCAGGGGAAGGGTCATTCTGTAAACAGTGAAAGGACATTCAAGGTCAAGGTTGTGTTCCCCTTGCCCATCTGCCTATTGGTACAGAAAGATAATTGAAAGGCTCTGACTGTACCTGCAGATACAAGCCACAGCCTCCCCCCACACCCATTCATCCATCCATGTCGCCATGACTGACGGATACCAAGGGACATTTAGCCTCAAGAAGGAAAGAAAATTTTCTCAAAAAGTCCTCCTCGGAGCCCATCACAGTCTACCTGAGGGAATCCTGACTCACTAGACAGCAGGAATGCAGTTTGGGTCCATGTCCCCATGTCCATCTTCCAAATAATCCTTAATGAACCAGATCAACTTCACAGTTTGATAGACTGTTTATCTTAATTGACCCCCTGATGCGTGTTTTTTGTTTGACCTAACAAAGGCCATTGGTTTTGAGTCATATCTTAGATATAGATTCTCTTTTGCAATAAGAATACATTCTGAAGCTTGGTTGGGGGAGCTAGTGTAGGCTCCTACACCATTATCTAGTTTCTGACTTAAGCACCCTTTTAAGCCCAGAAAAATATTAAAGTTGAAGTGGTTGTTATGTGCCCAGTATTGAGTAGCCATGACTCAGTCATGTGTACACAGTGGTACACAAATCATTTGGATACAAAGGGGGGCAGTGTACAGTCCCTTGCAGAGCTTAAACCATTTGGAACCATGTTTTTCTTAAGGTATACAGAGGACAAGACTGTTTTGCTTAGATATATTTTAAAGAAGTTTGCAGATAATATTTAAAAAGGATTTTAAACTGAAATTACTTTATTAACATAAAATACACATATACTGTACATGAAAGGAAAAGAGGAGTTGTGACCTCAGCAGTCTAAGCAGGCTTATTGCTAAACCTGAGGAACCCCTCTGTTCTGGACAGCAGAACAAAGAAGGTGTCTCTTACAGGCTAAGTGGTTTTTTATGGCCAGGTTTTTTGGCGCCCTTTTTTGAGGGGAAGGGTCAGGGAAAAGGTGGGCTTGTGGCTTGCTGATGTGTCCTGTGGAGAATGCTTGTAGCCTAGGTGTGATGAAGCCTAGATCTCTCTGAGATGGTGGGTGGGCTTATTCAAAAAGGTGGTATGTCTCTCTGGATTCTATCAGTATATTTTGGGGAAGATCAGAGTCAGGATAATATATGTGTTAATTCAGATTCAGAGGCCAAACTTCTAATGTTAAGGGCTATCTCCAACTTCACAGGACATCCCCTTACCTGGGCAGCTGTGTTTGTGGAGTTTCCCTGTGCAGGCTAAGGTGCCTGTCAGGCAAGAACAACGTGGTGCTCACCTGTATCCAGGCACACTCCCCAGAACCCCTCACTGTGCCTTCTAAAGAGAAAGTCCTCAAAATACATTTCTTGAACTGAATTAAATGGCTGAGCCTGCACAGCTGGGGCATCTAGGGACGCTGAAATACTAGCCTCCATGTCCATGTCTGAATCCTGGTATTACTAACTCCTTTTCAATTTCCTGTTCCAGACAGAAAAATATCCGTACCTGCGGTAGTCAACTCAAAACATGTGCGATGACAGCAGTGCCTCAATAACGGCTGGACTGCACTCCCTATGCATCAGAGGTGGCACCCAGCACTGTCACATTCTGTGATCCTATGGCAACTGGACGAGGTATGTTATGATTACTATTTCTATTTTACAACCAAGGAAACTGAGGCTTAGAGAAGAACAACTGCTCAGTGTTATTGGAGCTAGTGAGGGCCAGACCCTGAACTCTAGATTCTGGATACTGTGCTATTCATCATTCTCCACTTACCAGACTGGACCTCAGAGGGCAGATGGGTCTAGAAAAGAAGAAGGGATTCTCTGAGGCCCTCGTGCACCCAAAGCAAATTTACAGCGGGAGAGACCTCTCCGGCGACTGCTGCTTTCTTTCCTTCTTTCCTTTCCTCTCCACGCAACTCTTATCAAGCTGGGCCAGGAAATGTGAGGCCTTTGGGTGGGGTGGGAGAGAAAACCAGGAAGACCCTGCTCATTCTGATACTTTACCCTCTTCCTGTTCTCCTTCCTGCAGGACTAATAGGTGCAACAGTCCTAAAATCTGGCTGTACCCATTCCTTTGGAGGACTCCGGCAGACCCACGTGTCCTACGGCTCAACTTTCCACACCTACCCTGTTTGTAATTCCTAAGCAAGATTCTGAGCTCGGCTGTCGTATTTCGGTTTTACAGTTAATTGAAAATATTTTGATCCCAAAGTGCCCTTAGTATCATGTTTTATTAATGCAACTGACTCATATTAATGAGTGCCTGCTTTTGAGTCGAGACCTGAATAAGTTATCCGGTTTCATTGTTTATATCCTTAGTTAAAAAAAAAAATTCCATGCACTCTGACCTCATGACACCTAAACCCTGCCCATTTAGTTAAAACAGGAAAACTAGTTATCTGATACCGTGAAGGCAAATCAGCTGGTAGATGTGCTCACATGTTTCCATTTGCACTAGTTGTGGGCCTGGTGGGGAGCCATAGATTATTCATCAGGAATGCACAGGAGAGAATGTCTTTTTTCCATTTGTTTGTTAATTTCCAAAATAAAACCAATGCAAAGAGCAACAGTTAGAGTGCATTTGTTTTTCATTGTGAGCACCTATCATTAAGTCATCATATAAGAATTGCCCAAAGGAAAAAGAAATTAGCACCCAATTGCTTAATGGCCCTCCCATGCCCCCCTCCACCTACCTGTCTGTGGAGTTGTCTGAGAAAGGAAAAACCAGGAGCATTAGTCAGGCCGTCAGGGTGAGGAGGCTTATCACCACCAGCAAGTGGCAGGTTAGTCTGGTGTCTGCTGAGCAGGCTTTGGCAAGCCACCAGAGAGAGGGCATTTCATCACCCAGGACTTACCCCAGAGAATGCTGAGCCAGCAAGACACTAATCGGAACCAGGGGAAGAGTAGAGGAACGGAATTTCTTCCATGGACTTCCATACTTAAGGACATTTTTTTTCTAGTTTTGGTTGCCTCTTATTTTAGCTGCTGCACGTGTTGCCCCACCAGTTTATATAAGGTATCAAATTTTCTGTCTTTGGCACTTCTGTGTGCATCATTACACAAATTCATCACTAAAGAACACACTGGCTATTTGGAGGAGAAAATGCTGGTTTTTGTAATAAGCTATAAAAATAGTGACAATGTATTCAGCACTTGCTCAAAACACAATTGGTGTGCTAAGATGTGCATGGGATCTCTGATAATTCTTAGAATCCTAGTGTCTGGGCCCTATTACCCAGCTTGGAATGTCAGCTGAGGAAACAGAAGCATGGTAAGGCTAAAGAACCTGTCCGAGGTCACAGAGAGAATAAGTAGCAAAGGTGAGAAGTGAACCCCTACAGCTTGATTAACTTCAGGCTCTTAAGAACAAGCTTGTGTCCCTCCAGATGGTGACAAATCTTGCTTTGGTGTCCACCAGGGGCTGCTGGCAGGGCCTGGGGCTGCAACCTTGCTATGTACCTATTGTGCTAACTAGCATGCACATTAAAGCCACCAGAAACCACGCCAGGTTGAAAGACAGTTTAGCAGTTTCTTTTGAAACTTGCCGGCGTCCGCTTACTGGGCTGATCCTAAGAAATCAACAGGATGTTCTTTGTTCTCCATTCCTGCCACATCAGCAAGTGGGGGAAGGGGCATCAGCCCTCTCCCCACAGAAACTAAACATAGTCTTACCAGATGATCTAGCAATCATGTTCCTTGTTATTTAACCTGGAACAGAAAAACCTGCACGTGAGTGTTTATAGCAACTTTATTCACCATTGGAAAAATTCAAAACCAATCAAGATGCCCTTTGGTAGGTGAGTGGATAAACAAGCCATGGTACATCCAGATAATGGAATATTACGCAGCAAAAAAAGGAAACAAATGAGCTCACATTCAAGCCATGAACAGGCATGGAAGAACCTTACATGCATATTATGAAGTGAAAGAACATAGTCTAAAAAGGGCTACCTACTGCATGATTTCAACTATATGACATTCTGGAAAAAGCAAAATTTTGGAGACAATAAAAAGTTGTTGCCAGAGATTTTGTAAGGAGGGGACGATGAAAAGATGGGAATAGGGGCATTTTAGGTCAGTGAAATTATCCATGTGATAATTGAAATAGTGGATATACATCATTATAAATTTTCCAAAATCCACAAAAAATACAATGAGAGGGAACCCTAATCTGCTGTGGACTTTAGCTAATGATGATGTATCAATATTGGCTTATCAATTGTAACTTAGGTTTATAGAAAAATTGAATGGAAAGTTTAAATGTTTCACACTAAAGCAAGATGTCAATAATGGGAGGATAGATGGGAGCTGTATGAATGGCAATATAGAACTATTTATACTTTCTATTCAATTTTTCTATAAACCTAAAATTGCTCCCCCAAAAGTCTATTAATTAAAAAGGGGGCCACCAGTGAATTTGGGCAGTAGAGGCCTGGAGATAGGACTGGAGGAAGATTTTCCATCCTTTTCTACCTTTTGCATGTCTCCATTATTACCCAAAACAAATTAAATTTTTTAAAAGCCAGCAAAGGAAAGAATTCTCACCTTTGTGTAGGATCCTGAGGCTCTGTCCTCAAGTTTGACCCCTTTTTAATGGTGGAATATTGGTCTCTTTCATTCTTGATGCAGCAGAAGTACCATGCTCAAGAATGACTCACTTGGTTAGAGAGCGGCCGGGGTATAGTCGAAGGGCATTAGGTTGGGGGCTGCTGTAGGCCTTCGTCCTGCCTACTCTGACTTCCCAGCTTTGCACCCTTGCCTCAGTTCCACAGAGATATGGAGAGCCCACTCTGGTGGCCAGTTTGCATTCTGAGGTTTCAGAGGTGAGACAATGCTTGGGAGAAAGAAGAGAAAAAGTAGGCAAGGGGAAAAAAGAACCAAGAAAGAGAGGAAGGAACAAAGGAAGGAAGGTAGGTAGGAACAGAAAAAGAAGTGAAGGGAGAATATAATTTTGATGAACAATCAGAAGGCTGGTATAACTTCCCAATAAAAGTCTGGTCTTGGCAAGAGTTGCTGGAAAAAGCAAGAAGGGTGCCTTCTGACTTTCTAGCAACGAATGGGGGCTGGAATTCACCCTGATCCCCTCTCTACTTCAAGCCTTGGAAGGAGCATTAAACCAAAAAGGGGATTAACTCATGTCTGTCACCAGTTCCTGCATCCTCACCAACAGTCCCGGTAGATGCCATTAATCATATGTTGTGTCCATCTGTGTGCCTGTCATTTGAGATGTTCCCTATGGTCAGAAAAGCAGATGACAAGCAAATTCCAAACACTTGGCTCTGTGGGTCTTCAGTGGTGAATGGGTAGAGAGGTTACTTCTCTTTTAATTCTCACTAAGTCTAATTTCTTCGTACAGAATTAAGTGTTTTTGTTTAGAGGGAATGGAGTGAACCCAATTCCATTTGTCTTTCTTGATGAACTGGAGACATTAGAGGTTTATATATCACCATGCAGTCAATATAGTGGACATATACACACACACACACACACACACACATCAAATCTGATACAATGAAATAAGATCAGCCAGGACGAGCCTTTTATTTGGTTGTTTTACATATAAATGGCTCAAGATTGAAAACTTCCAGGTTTTACCTACTTCCTACCTCCCCATCCTTGCCCAGGGAGATGATACTCATGAACTCTGATATACAAGGGAATCTCTCAAGATATGGAATATCATTTATAACAGGGAATTTTACTCCAATATATGGGTCTCCCCAAAGCCTAGTAAAACTTAATTATTGGTTTAGTGCAAAGTTCCCAGAGAATCAGGACTAATGGCGCCTTCCCAGGAAGGGCAGGTTTTCTGAGAACTGCCCGGAACTTTCTGTAGGTGCTGGAGGTGTCAGGGTTCCTTTGGGTTTTTTAGGGAGAACATTTAAATGGCACTACAATCTGTGTTTAAATGTAAACTCCAGAAAGGTTTGGTCCTATACCATTGTCACTCTGGGGGAATAATATGTTCCCAGCCTAGGGCAAATAACCTTTGAAACCGATATCAGTCGAAGGGAGAAATAAAGTGGGAGAAACTCATTTATTGCTTATAAGCAGTCATCTACTGCTTGCCTGTGTCTCTTGTGACCTGGATGCAAAAGGACCCCCCGCCCCACACCTCTCCGACCCAGGTATGCCCTTGCTCCCCACTCCACCTTGTGATCATCTATTGCTATGGGGATGGGCTATGTCTCTCCACCCCTTGGAAACACCTATTGATATGGAGATGCACTAAGGCCAGGCGAGAGATTCTGGAAATATTGCAGTTTTACTGAACAGTCAGGAAGTGAACGAGTAACACCATGAAGTTGACAATACATTCCAGCTTTAAATCTCTCTCTCATCTCAAGACTTATCTTTGGATCAGTGAAATACACTACCTGAGTTGTATTTTGTCTGTTTCTTCAGCAGTGGAGGTGGACTTGGGCTGTGCACTCTACCCATTCTTGGGGTTTCTCACACCCACCCAGTGGGATGAATGCATGGGGGATAAGTTATGGTCACGGGACAAAGAAAACTGTGCTTGGCTCTGAGATTTGGCTTCATTCATGCCATCTTCTACCAACTCAACCTCTAGATCTAGATATGATGAACTAGCAAATGAAACTCTTAAAAAATGAATTTTTCTTTCAAGTGAAAATTTTTCTTATTTATACTCTGAATAAAATAGAACACCACTGCCCATTTAGTGAAGGCTTGCTGGGGTTCAACCACCATGCCAAATGTTTCGCACACTTAATTTTTTAAAAGGTTGTAACCCTACTGGTATTATTATTTCTGCGCCCCAGATGAAGATTCTAACACTTACATCATCATCATTATCATCATCAACAATGGTGCTTTATGCTGACTGAGAGCTAAGTCTTCTCCAGGTACATGGAAAGCATGTTGTTTCATGAATTCTCAAAGAAGTCTGTAAACTAAGAACTATTAATCTCTTCATATTAAAGATGAAGAAACTGAGGCTCAGTGAATTAACTGATGTGTCCCAGGTCATAGAGGGCATCACATAGAGGTGTGAGAACCTCACTCCAAAGCCTTTGACCTTCATTGCTACAGTTTCCGACAATGTAGCAGAGCGAACATGAACTAAAAATTAATGTCAGATTTACACAACTATTTCATTAAGAAGAGAAGAGAAAAATTAGGAGATAAAGGAGAATAATTATAAAATCTTGTGACTGGGACTTAACATTTTAAAATTTGGAGAAAACAAGCATTTTTAACAATGGTGAACAATGTAATTAGCCAAAATTAAATGAAAATCTCTTCAGCATCAACAACAGTGACTGTTTCAATTTCACAGTGAGAGATGATTTCTTTTCTTTTCTTTCTTTTTTTTAACTTTTTCTAAAACTTAAAACTTCAACACTTGTTAAAGTAGAGGTTAGACGATAAAAGGAGATCAGGTCCTCTGGTTATTATGGCAATTCTGTTTTTCTTAAGAATATGACTCATACATTGCTTTATTATAATACTCAGGAAATAAAAATCATTTGCATGAGTAATAATGTGAGATTGTAAGGATTATGTGTCAAAGTGAAAGGAGAGATAAATACTTTTACAAATCTGATGTTCACCTCTTAGGTGTAATGGGATAAAATATGACATTA